AGAAAATATAGGTTAGTTAGTGGTAACAGCCATATATAATATGCTGTAGTATCGGTACACCAAAGTGAACCTTACAGTCACGCAGAAAATATAGGTTAGTTAGTGGTAACAGCCATATATAATATGCTGTAGTATCGGTACACCAAAGTGAACCTTACAGTCACGCAGAAAATATAGGTTAGTTAGTGGTAACAGCCATATATAATATGCTGTAGTATCGGTACACCAAAGTGAACCTTACAGTCACGCAGAAAATATAGGTTAGTTAGTGGTAACAGCCATATATAATATGCTGTAGTATCGGTACACCAAAGTGAACCTTACAGTCACGCAGAAAATATAGGTTAGTTAGTGGTAACAGCCACATGTTGTAGTACTGGTACACCAGGGAAATAAATTTTTTTTCCCACAGGAGCTGTTTTTCAAGTCTGTGGAAAAAATAGCTCTCGTCAAAATTTTTTACGGGAGCTATTTTGAATTGCCTATTTTTTTGTATATTTTCATACATTCTGACACATCTACATGTATATCTTCATGCAATTCACTGTGCAATTCACATATTTTTAGCTCGCACATCCGCTACGAGAGCGATTTTTTCAAATTTTTTTTTTCTTTTTTCGCTCTCGTAATTTGTTTTGCAGGAGCGATTTCAGAGGTTTGAAGAGCGAATCGCTCATCACTCGGGCCATGTATTTTTTACCCTGTGTTACACCAAAGGGAATCTTACAGTCACGCAGAAAATATGGGTTAGTTAGTCCTAACAGCCATATTCTGTAGTATTGGTACACCAAAGTGAACCTTACAGCCACATAGAGACTATGGGTTAGTTAGTGGTAACAGCAACATGCCATAATACTGGAACATACGTGGGAAACCTACAGTCACATAAACAACACGGGGTTAGTGAGTGGTAACAGTCACACGTTTTAGTACTGTAGTGGTGGACGGAAGCCGACAGTCAGGTAGAAAACAGGTGAGGTGTAAGAGGTGTTATGCACACAACATCACTGATAAAATCTTAGCTGTCCTTGTCCAGCGTTTAACGAGGGTCACACCTGACCTTTACGTGCATCTACTGAGGATCGCATGTTCACCCATGTTTTACGGGAATTTAACGAACGCCACATCTGACCTTTACCCGCATTTAACGAGTATCTCATCTAAGTTTTTTCCGTGTTTAACGAGAGACTCACCTAAGCGTTACTTGGTTTATATGCGAGAGTCTCACTGGCATGTATTGAAATTCCTAGCTGGTCTCTACCTGTATTCAACGATGGTCTTACCTGAGCTTTACCTGCATTACACGAGGGTCTAAACTGTGTGTATCAAGGTTCCTTCCTGGGCTTTACCTGTATTTAATGATAGTCTCACCTAGATTTAACGAGGGTCTTACCCGGGGAGTTGGAGAAGGAGGCATCGAAGCACGAGTAGTTGATTAGCGTGTAGGCCATCAGGAAGAAGTTGGAGATGATCGGGGCAATCACGTTCAACTCCGCTGGAAAACACAAGGCTCACAATCACACGCGACACATTGTTTATATGTGGTTTCTTACATCATTGATTTCTTACATCATTGATTTCTTACATCATCAAATGATTGATTTAATGAGATGTGCAGTTTTTGTGCTGTATATTTGCCTTGTTTCTGATGTAAAATTAGTTTCGACACATGGTTTTTCTGGTTTTTTTTGCCTTGTTTCGGGTAATGAAACATTTTACGTGAGATTTGTTTACAAAATTGAACCTTGCTGAGGTTTATAAAATGCAAACTTGCCACTGTTTATAAGATGCACCTTTGCTAACATTAGATAAAATGCAACGTTGCTAACGTTTACAAAATGCAACCTTGCCAATAGATGATTAAATAATTTCATCGGATCTCTATAGTTTACATGCCATAATCAGTACCAAATAACTTACTCTGACGAAATTTTCGTCCATCTCTCCGGCAGACTTCCTCAGGTCTAACGTTTCAAGGTAGATAGAAAACGCTACTCACTGTAGACGACATAATGGAGTTGCTGGAATTTGTGCTCACCACCACCTATTTCATGTTTGGCGGACAGTTATATCAACAGAAGTTCGGCACGGCGATGAGTAGCCCCGTATCTCCGATCGTTGCCAACTTATACATGGAAGATTTAGAACAGACAGCCATCAATACAGCGTCTGAACATATCAAACCCAGATTTCGGAAACGCTATGTAGATGACATACTAGCGGTGGTTACCAAGGGATCCACACGCATCCTCAATGATCATCTCAACTCAATAGATACGTCCGGCAACATACAATTCACCTCTGAAGAAATGGAAAACAACAGCATTCCTTTCCTAGACACGAAGATTGTGAGCAAAGAAGATGGTACGCTAAAAACCGTGGTCTACAGGAAGAAGACCCATACCAATCAATATCTGAACTTTCAGTCCCACCACCCGATAACTCACAAACTGGGAGTCGTCCGCACACTACTTGATAGAGCTGAACACCGTTGTAACGGAACCGAAAGATATACGCGCCGAAGAACTTGAGATTCGACACGCACTTCGAAATTGCGGCTACCCAAACTGGACAATTGAAGACACAAAACGGAAAATAGAAACAAAAGTGACCAACAACCAATTGAAAAAGAAGGGGAACGACTTGAAAACGAAAAATAAGGGGTTAGTTATCATTCCTTACATCAAGGGCATGTCCGAGAGGTTAGCCCGCACCTTAAGGACCTTCAACATCTCTTCAGCATTCAAACCCCACAAGACCATCAGGAACATCTTAGTACATCCCAAGGACAAAATTGAAAACAAAAATACTACCGGATGTGTATACCGTATCGCCTGCTCGAACTGTGACAGTACGTACATTGGGGAAACAGGCAGAAAATTTGGCACACGTTTAAAAGAACATATGACTGATGTCAACACTCACACAAAAGGAACCAGCACACGAGCGGCTCGTGCGTCCACTTCAGGACAACAGCATAAGTCAGCCATAACAGACCGTATGGTCGATCAAAACCATCTGCCGGACTGGAAAGAGACCACTGTGGTGTCAAAGGAATCAATTCCGAGGCGCAGACAAATCAGAGAAGCAATTCACATCCGCAGAGAACCGACTACAATGAATAGAGATGAGGGGTCATACAATCTATCCCACATTTACGACAACATTCTCAGATCTGCACCCATTCGAGAGGACCGCAGGCTGGAGGCCGCCCAAAAATAACCAGGTTCGACCTTCCGTTTCCAGTGCTGCCATCTACCTGGAAACGTTAGACCTGAGGAATTCTGTCGGAAAGATGGACGAAAATTTCGTCAGAGTAAGTTATTTTGTACTGATTATGGATCTAACTGAGATTAACTTTATTAGCAACCTTGCCAATGTTTATAAAGCCACTTCAAGTCGTACAAGTAACTGCTACCCACTCCTAGGACCGGACAGTAGCATCCGAACTCTTAGTTGGGACACTTACCGATCAGGATGCATCCGATGGCAATGACAAACGTAAGTAGGTACGCCCGTTTAGGTTCGTCGTTGTTTCCCGAGCCAACAGCGAAGACGTGGATACCGGGGAACAAGTTGTCCTTGCACACAGCCTGTAGCAAGAGACACCTAGAGGATGCTGACAACCTATTCAGTGTGAAGTCAATCAAACAGTGGGCAGCCTTGGCCACCAACCCCCATACAGGGTGTCACCAAACATAGCTCATTCAGAGGCATAGCTCAGAGGTCTGCCCTGCCCAACTACCGCTTGTGTGATGATACCAACCAATGTTATGCTTAACATTACTTACCGCCTCACACCGCACTTCACCCACCTTCACCGTCCTGACCCACCTTGTCCCCATTCTATGTGGTACGCACTGCTTCTCCCTTGCATACCTATCAAGCTTATTCCTCGTGCTAACTCGCTCAAAACTATTAGAAGCTAATCTATTAGAAGCTAGCTAAACTATCAAGCACCCCTACCTACTGTCTCTCCTCTGAACGACCCTCAACCATAGCAACGGTCGCCAAAGGGGAAAGCCACTCGCGTGGTCGTGGTTGGGGTTCTCAACTCAGAGATGGTCTGCAGGGCGGGGGAAGCCGCGCCTACCCAGGGTGCGAAATTAACGCGAGTCCGGAGCAGCCTAGAATACTTTTTTTTTACGAGAGCTCTTTTTTGATTTTGTATGAAAAAAAGAGCTCTCGTAATTTTTTTACGGGAGCTATTTTAGGCTTGACCAGAGCTACTTTTTCATAGCATGATTTTGTTAAAATTTTCATAATTTTGATGCACTGACTCTAATAATGTCTCATAAGCCAGAAATTGTGTCGAATTATCGTAAAGGTGTTTCCCAAACGAAAGTCAAGATTATGCTTTGGCGAAATCGACGAGGTCAACAATCATTCATAATGGTGACAAAATCATGGAGGCCGGGTTTACATGTTGCTGTATGCATGTTGTGTACAAAGTATGACTGCATGCACTGATTGTCTCATTCGCATTATTTTTTTCATTCAAATCTCGTCGCAGCAAGACCACCAACTTCACTAACTTCAGTAAGTTGGTGGACCTGCACAAAAATTTGGTGGTCCGCTTATTTACTAGGAGTGAGTAACAAAATAGTATATAAAGATAACCATTGGCATTAAAACAGCATACATGTAACTTAATTAGAGTTGGTCAAATATAAATGTTTCAATCTCTAGGAATGTTGGGGGAGCTTCTGGGTAAGGTTTTACTTTCGTTTTTCTCCTCCCCAGTCCACGGTACCCCCATGCATAGATCAATGCTGCCGCACATTCGCAAAGTTACAAGTGCCTAGAATCTTTAAGTATATATACAGTTTACATTGCTTCTAGATATCTAACTGAATAAAAACAGTCCACTTTCTACGGTAAGAAAAGTGACGAATTCAGTTAACAGCTATGATTACTTGCGTGGCAGGTGTCACTGCATGGTCGTGCCCTCACTCCCCACGATAAACCCTGCGATATATAAACTTATTGTTATGCGGTCATAAAAACACTGGCATGCCGGCGATGCCACAATCGATTTCTTAGACTGTCGCGAGTTTTTGTTTGTGTGGCGAATCATGCGTTGAGGGAGTTCACGCAGCTCTCTACGTTGAGGAACGGGTCGTATTATGCGCTCCCGTTTACAAGTCTGTCTAAACTGCCGTTGCGATAACCGTAGTATTTCAGCGTAATATGAGGGGAAGAGGACCGGCAGTTTCGTAGAGATGGTGGCACAAGCAAAAACTTGGTGGGCTCAAGCCTCCGGGTCGGAACTGATTTCGAACGCTGCCGGCGGCACGGGAGCGATTTTTTCTCGTATCTTCCAAAATTTTCGCTCTCGTAATTGTTGTTACCAGAGCGCTTTGAAAGCTGACGGGAGCGAAATCGCTCGCTGCTCCCGTGTATTTTTTTCGCTGGTCTGGAGTCAAATACTCCCTGATTTACTGTCGGACTCCCTGATTTGACATAGGCAGGAGTCCGTGCGACTCCCTGAAAATTCTGTTATACAAATTAGTAGTAGTTCGTTCCAGAGCACGGCCTCGCGGAATTACCATATCTTTTCATTGGCCGATGTGCGTGGCAATAATCTTCAAAATAAGCACATGCATTATTGTTGTTATGCTTTAGTTTTGAATTTCAGACTGCGGACTCCCTCATTTTGCTACGGACTCCCATGTTCAAAAGTTAATTTCTACCCCTGCCTACCTGAAAGACCTTTGGCGCTCCGACGAGGCTGGCGAGAGCCGAGGAGAGGGTTGCAGCGAAGATGCCGGCAAGGATGAGCGGAGCAAAGCCAGATATGAGCTCCATCACCTGCAAACACAGCAAGGTGTGTAACAGCTGCATCACATACAACATAAAGCGAGGCGTGTGAACAGGTGGTTAGGGTTACGTACATGCACGTCGTTAGACAGGTGTATAACAGGTGCGCGAGGTATCCGTGGTTACGTACATGCACGTCGTTAGACAGGTGTATAACAGGTGCGCGAGGTATCTGTGGTTACGTACATGCACGTCGTTAGACAGGTGTATAACAGGTGCGCGAGGTATCCGGAGTTACGTACATGCAAGTTGTTAGGCAGGTGTATAACAGGTGCGCGAGGTATCCGGGGTTACGTACATGCACATCATTAAGCAGGCCGTATCGGCATGGCGAGGCGTCCGGGGCACTGCATGTAAAGTTCACCGTCGCGTTGTAGTAGTCCTCTGTGCTGCCATTCGCATCCCTGCCAGGAGAAAGCAGAGATGAAGGACAGTACAGGAACTACAAATAGATGAATGTAGCTATACAGATGGGGACGAAGAACACAAACTATGAAGAGATGAACACTGTAATGAAGAATAAAAACTATAGAGAGATGAGCACAGACATGAAAGACACGAACTACGAAGAGATGAGCACAGAGGTGAAGGACACAAACTACGAAGAGATGAACACAGAGATGAAGAACACAAACTATGAAGAGATGAACACAGAGGTGAAGGACACAAACTATGAAGAGATGAACACAGAGGTGAAGAACACAAACTATGAAGAGATGAGCACAAAGGTAAAGGACACGAACTACGAAGAGTGGTTTGCACACGGTGAGATAAAGCACCCACACTATACAATACAAATACACAACTACAATAACAACAACAACAACAACAACAATAACAGAATGACAATTCACGAATCGCTCACCTGATCACAGTCGAACCGACCATCCATCCCATCACAAGGTAGGTGGCTGTCGTCAGCAGGATTGCTCTCAAGGTGCCCTTGGGAATTGCCGACTGCGCATCCTGTGAGAAAGCGCGCGCGTTAACGAAGACTGCCACGGGCCGCCGATCGCTCACGTACCAATAGCCGATAGCACAGAGATGCAGCGACGGGCGGCGTGATTCGTGGCACAATGGGGCATCACTCCCCTCGAAAGAATCCGACAAGAAATTTTAACCTTGAATCGCGAATTCGACGCAAAGATCCGATGCGCGTCGAATTTGAGCCTTTCTTAGTATTGGTGGGGGGAAATTCCGCTCGTTTATAAAACGTTTCCCATTTATCATTAATTGTATTTGGCATTTTTCCCGTCGAATTCGCGGCCCTCGGTCCACACGATCCAGCCCCCGTGGTCCGGGACAGAGGGGGAAGATTCCTGGCACTCACGGCGAGATCCCCCGATATGTTTGCGCCAGCGAGGATGCCTGTCGCCGCCGGGAAGAAGATGGAGAAGACGGAAAAAAAGCCGTGACCTTCCCGGAACTCCGGATGCAAGTTCTCCAAGAACGTTCCCGCTAGAGGGATGTAGAAAGCAGGCCAGTTAGGATGAGTATATGAAATAATAATAATAATAATAATAATAACATTCTTTTTTTAGTATTATTATCATATTATCAAGTTTGGTAGCCCTTTAATCAAACTAACTGACATGCTTTGTCCAGAAATAAGATTTCGCACCACAAAGGAAAAGCAAGTGCGTGTACAAATGCAACGATTTGTGACATAGGAGGATAGGTATGCTCACCACTGTAACCTGTATAGCCCTTCACTCCCTTCGCCTCGGTGACCTTCAGGAAAAGACCGACAACAAAATCCAAGATGGCCACTACCAAAATGCCGAGCAGGATTAACTGCGCCTGTAAGCAATTGCGTAGATTAGCGGCTGGTAAGCAAAGCTAGGCTTAATATCACACTCGAGGCCCAAATCAGGTTTCACAGGGTGAGGCCTTTCTTTATCTTAAAGGTCAATACAGCTGTGCAATTTAAATAGGTATCTTTAATCAATTCCAGTTTAGATGTGTAACAAATGATTTCGGTTCGCAACATAGAAATGAGTGCGATGCCACATATACACGGTATGTGTTCATGTGTGTACACGGTATGTGTTCACCTGTGTACACATTTTTACATGTACACGGTATGTGTTCACATGTGAACACATGTTTACATGTAAACGGTATGTGTTCACGCGTGTACACGTGTTTAAATGTACACGGTACGTGTTCACGCGTGTACACGTGTTTGCATGTACACGGTATGTGTTCACGCATGTACACGGTACGTGTTCACGCGTGTACACGTGTTTACATGTACACGGTATTTGTTCACGTGTGAACACATGTTTACATGTACACGGTATGTGTTCACGCGTGTACACGTGTTTACATGTACACGGTATGTGTTCACGCGTGAACACGTGGATTGTGTACACGAATTTGCACACTTCGATAGTAAATCTCCCACTCAGTGCCCTTCTCTATTGAGGGATGCAATGCATGCTTCGGCCACATCCACTCTTACTTTTCCTCTCCCCCATCTCTACTCTGCTCCTCTACCTCTTCTTCTAACTTCTGCTGTCTCCCCTCTCACACTCATCCTTGTCCCTCCACTACATTCTCTAATCAACCTGCTTTTCTACCTCTGTTCCAACCGTCCACTATCTACCCTCTTCAACACACCTATGCTCACCTAGTCCAAGAAACGGAAACATACGGTCTGCATTTTGTCGCATGGAATTTGTTAGCTTTTATCAAGTTTAAAATTCATGGCCCGCCACCTGAAGGAGACATCTTTCTCTGGCTCCAAAACCAGTTGCAACTCTCTAAATTACGCTTTTTCCATAGCCATGTGAATCATACGCCCCCTCCATCCTCTACCCATGTATACACCCGACTCCCCTATGCTTCACATTCACCCACTTTTTACCCTCACTTGTTATATCTATCCCTTGCTTTCCCTGCTCCTCCCCTTTCCCTCATTTGCCCCACCCACCCACTCAGTTCTCCCCATCACGTTTCCTTTACCTTCCCCTCCTACTTGCTGCTCCCTCAAATCCACCTGTGCCTCCCACTCTCCTTTACCTCCTCTTCAGCTGCTCCCACGCATCCAGCCCACCTGCATATCCACGATATACCATCCCCTCCCGTCTAGCCCACACTCACCCGTGCTTCCCACTCCATGCCTACCATGGCTACTCCCAGTAGCACAACAAGGGTGATGCAGCCTATGATTCTTACATCATTGAGTTCATCCACTATCTGCAACCCGTATTCCTGTCAACATAGCAATGCATGATCCCGTAATCACTCCCAACAATATACGAACAACATACACCGTGTCCGTTACAGCAATAGTTTATCTATTATCGATATCTAATATACAATATAAATAACAGGGTTAAATTTACTCAACCGTGCAAATTTGAAACGTACCGCTGACGTTTCGCCTCCTGCCAGGAGGCTTTCTCAAAGCAAACTGATGTTAATCAGTTTTGACCACCAGATGGTGTGGTGGTCAATAGCTTAGTCCACACGTGACTATAAGCCTGTCTCGTCTCGGTTGATGTTTGCGGTCTTGCGGATCCAGATGGCCTCCTTAATCCAACGCCTGATTTTGATTGGCTCGCGATCGATGATCTTCGAATTCTCTCAATCGATGGTGTGATTGTCCTTCGCTACATGTTCAGTGATCGCGGATTTGGTGATTTCGGTAGCCGACTGTTTTCGTTGGACCCTTGTGAACGATTTGGGTGCTACGGTGTCTACGTCCTTTTTGTGTTCTTTTAGGCCGGTTTCAAATTTTCGGCCGGTTTCTCCAATGCAACTTTTTTCACACATTGCACATGGTATCTTGTAGACACAGTCCGTAATGTTGTGCATATCTGTTCTGTCCTTAGGGTGTACCAAAACCCGTTTTAGAATCTCAAACGGTCTCACTGTTGAAGCCACACCTGCATTTTTTAGGGAACGCTGAACTACGTCCGTGACGCCTCTGACATAGGGTAGGACGATCATCGCCTTCGGTTTCTCCGTGGAGGTTTTCTTTTGGGATGTTGTTTTTTCATGTGCCGTGTTCATCTCCTTGGAAACTTTTTCGAGTGTCCAATTGGGGTAGCCGCATTTTCCTAGTGCGTTCTTGATGTGGCGCGCTTCAGCTTCCCGGTCCTCACTCTCCATTAAGATTTTGTCCTTACGATCAAGTAGCGTCCGTACCACTGACAGTTTGTGGTTGACTGTGTGGTGTGAGTTGAAGTTTAAGTACTGGTCCGTGTGGGACTTTTTCCTATACACCGTCAGTTTTAGTGAACCATCTTCTCGTTTATGGATGAGTGTGTCGAGGAATGGAATTTTTGCGATAGATACAGGCTTAGTCACGTGTGGACTAAGCTATTGACCACCACACCATCTGGTGGTCAAAACTGATTAACATCAGTTTGCTTTGAGAAAGCCTCCTAGCAGGAGGCGAAACGTCAGCGGTACGTTTCAAACTTGCACGGTTGAGTAAAAATTAACCCTGTTATTTATATTAGTCTACCAACCGAATGAACTTATCTAATTATATACAATAGTCTACACATAATTGTCTCTATAGCAAGGTATGAATTCTATAGAGATTGTTCCACGCTACAACTGACACTTAAGAAAAACCCCGAATGTGGCCTTCCATCATAGAAAGGTGTCCATTTCATAGAGCTAACACAGGTTTGACTGTACATGCTTTAGTTTTCTGGGAGTCTTCCAGGAATTTTCCAGGAATTTACAATTTCTTCGTACAATTTTACAAGTCCATTTTCCATCACTACAAGATTTTTTATCTTAATAAAAACTTTGTGCCTTATATCGTCCAATAAACAATTAGTGGGCAACCTCTTGCATGAAGCAAACTTTATTTGCTTTTCAGACAAGATTTCCATGAGCTAAAATTTGAGGACTTTCAATGATCAAACACAAAATAACAGCATAATCTCCACTCTCCAGGACCAAAGCCGATCTTTCTGGACTTTCCAGAACCATAGCCCAAATTCCAAGACTGCACGTTTGGAAACAGCAACCTCCCCCCCTCACCCCACCCCCATCGAACCCCGAAGTACGCGTAATGGTGAATTACCTTCATCACGTCTCGAACGGTCTCAGCGAATCCGACGATATACATGGCGACAGCAACGGCATTGGCGAGCGAAAATATGATGCCGATGGCACCACCAAACTCTGGTCCCAGACTACGCGATATCATGTAGTAAGCGCCACCTGCAAATGTCAAAATTTGACTGCAGCGATGAACATAAGTTTATATGTGACACGATCTGGCAAAATGAGTCACAGTGACCGAAAATTGAAAATTGAGTTATCCATGCGACTAGAAAGAAGAGTCTGCAAGCTTTAAAATGATACCAAACATGTTGCATTATCATGAACGGTCTTCGATTTCTGCTCATTTGAAGTTTTTATTATATCAATAATTACAGTATTCCAAACCAAAATGTATAAAAAGGCATTTAAGTTTGGGGAGCGAATGTGATGAAAGAAACCTTCTCTATAACTCCTTAGCAACGATAGGGTTACACTTGTTTGATTAAAACCAAACTTGGCAGAACACTTAAAGTGGATAATCCTCGCAACAAAATGCCTAAATACACCTACTATGAGCATACTTGCCATATTAAAACATCACGTGAAATGTTCTCATTAAGCCAGAAATGCACACCGAGGTATTTTGCTGTATAGATACACATAAATTGTTATTACGCGAAGCGAACGATAACAGTACAACAAAGACGAGCTCACAGTAGGTACACCAAAAACAATAATTTCACAAACACTAGTAGTTAATATGACTCTCAATTTTTTTATATGGAGTTAATTTCCGCATTTTCTCTCATTGTTTTAGGAAATTCTATGTAGGTTTGTGAAGGATAGGGTCTACAAAATGTTAAATTTGGACATTATATCGATCACTGTGGACTTTGATACTTCGGCAAGTGAAAATTTAGTAACTTTTCTATTCAAATTAATCAAAAACGAAAAATCGATAAAATTAATGTTCTACGGTGTATTTGGCCTGTAGGGAAATATCTCTACTTGCGACTGTCCAGCACATTTTGCCAGATCGGGTGACATATTTTATTTGTGAGCCTAATTCACCCCAATACTTTCCACTCGGTAAACAGAATTACTTTTCCATTCATATGATACTCCGCGAAGTAAGATTATAAGCATTGAATTGCATGCAGTTTGAAATTGCATGCCAGTTGGCAGTATTCCAGTCAGTGAATACAATTCACAACCAACAAATCATTCCTACAATTCTTTCACATTTCCCCTTTACAAGATCCAATAAGCACAAAGCTAAACTCAGATTTTCCAACCTGAGAGGAATGTAAGGGATTCGAAAAACTCAGCCAAGATTGAATCTGGCTTGATAAAGATGAACACCATGACATGCCCAATGATTACAAAGGTTAGCGGAAAACAACAATTTGTGGTGTGTAAGTAACTGCCGGTAGGAAAAAGGTACAAGTGACTCCCTCTGGTTTTCACAACTAGACAACAGCATTCACTTGCTGAAAATATAAATATGATGCCAGGTGATAGTCAGAGAAAGCCTATTGTCATTTGGTGTCAGTGATACGTGTCGGCGTCCTTGTTAACACGTTCAACGCGAAACACGAGTGTACTCGTTCGAACCTGCAAAACGCACGACCGCGAAACACGAGTATACTCGTGGCAAAAAAAAAATTGAAAAAAAAATTAATTTGGAACGTTTACTATGTTCTCCTATAGATGGCAGGGGCTATACGCTTAGCAATTCAATAGCGTCACTGTATCAACCCCAGTAGTAGATGACATAATTTATACAATACATTACTGTTGTTTGGAACGTTATTTTGGGAGTTTTTGGGACTGAGGTAATGTTTTTAGTTCACCTCGCCAAAGGGCGTTTGACCGCCGTGTGTTGTGAAGTTGTTTTTATGTTTGAAAGTTGTGTTTGATTTGATAGATCACGGGTGATAGATTCCGGTGTTGTTTTGATGTCTGAGAGTAAGTTTATATCTATATTATACTAGCCACTAATTATAAATAGTTTTATAGCTAGTTAAACCTGCCAAAAACATTTTGTGTAATAGGTGACTAAGCGGTAAAAACGCGAAAATCTCCGCACAGGGCGGTAGGTGCATTGTTAACCCAGGCAGCGTTGAACGTGTTAAAGGTTAGACTCGTGCTTACCTCCCTTGACCTCGCCATTTGTGCAGATAGCTGACATCGAGAGAGCGGTCAGTATGGTGACTACAGTAGACAGCAGAATCACGACAGTGAACAGCCCTGAAATCATGCGGCGGTTGCGTCAGGCGTTACTTCGATGGCGTAGAAATTCAATCAATAGCTCCAAAATGCACATTGGTTCATCGGGATCATTAAATTACCTGCATGGGTGTGCTTCACATTTAGTAACAATGATGGGACAACAGAGCATCCACTGTCTGGAACCAAGGGCACGTTGTCAGAAACAAATCTAGCATTAACGTGAACATTTTTTATAGACTGTCGACAGAAACATTGTAAAGTTATGGGAATGAAAAATCGTAGAAAATTTCCACATAACTATAAGAAACAAAATTCGTTAATGGTTTATGAAAAAAGGTCAAAATGTTAAGACAAAGTTAAGACTAATTCTGTTTCTGACAACAAACCCCAGTGCCATCAGCACCCACTGAAATTATTAACTTAAAATTTAACCAAGATTCAAGCGTATATAAGTTGCCTACATGTCATTATACAGTATAAGTCTCGGCACTCAATGGACCGAATAAGGCATTAGTGACATAACTGCATAAAGGTGATGATTAGTCTGATAAATTAAATTAAATAGTTACTTATTAAAGGAATAATAGGTCCATTGATTATGCAATGTTGACGTATGCTAGAGTAACTGGCACCTTGTGTAGTTAATAAGTACGTAACCTTATAGCCTAACGCGTATTAGTTTGTCCAATATCACTGCTGGTTACATTACATGCAAGACTTGAAATCGGTTGTTGATATTCATTTACGTGCCGTAAATGTCATCCAGGAGTCAAGCGATAAGTCGCCGATGACGTAAACATTTGTGCGCACGTATGTTTTGGACGCCAGATGAAATGGAGGTGTCAGCGGCGTAACCACGGCCACGGACTAAACATGGAAGTGGAGTAAAACACACGTACAAATCACGGACGCACATGGACAGCCCTGACAAAAAGTTCCTTATCACGAGCGCCCGTGTTTACGAAATCACTGATGATAGCATTGCGTACAGCCGAGCATGCGTGCGAAAATGTCCGGTGCACTATAAATCTGTATCACACCCGCTTCGCCGGCAGCGGTTTGAAACTGTAAACAACTCAGTCAACTGATTTCTTGGACTGCGGATTTCAATTAGACATTTCTTAGTAACCAGCAGTGATATTGGAAAAACTAATACGTGTTTGGCTATAAGGTAATGTACTTACAAGGTGCCAGTTACTCTAGCATTCGTCAACATTGCATAATCAATGGACCTATTATTCCTTTAACTACACAAGGTGCCAGTTACTCTAGCATTCGTCAACATTGCATAATCAATGGACCTATTATTCCTTTAATTAATTACTCAGAGTTTAATCTGACATAGTAACTTACAGACTATAACAAAGACTGAGCGATCACGTTTTCGTCGTACCTAAACCAGTTTGTCCCACCACCCACGAAAGACGCAAAAACAGCATCACTCCCCATATGTTCAGGAGGCATCGAACCTAGCGAAACAAAACATCCATGTCGCTAATTAGATAATAGATCGGCCATGGCACGCAGACTCACGATACAGTTAAAAAGCCAGCTAGGCTGGTGGAAAATAAGCAGAGAGCATGTACGTTCACAGCACTGCTGCATGATCAATACACACATAGACAGGTAATCACAGAGAACTGTCACTTCTGCACAGTGGAGCATCTTCACAAGAAAACAGATCAGAGGCATATCGGACAGAATAATTAGTTTACACTCAGGATGCATCAGGCAGGTCAACGTGACCAGAGGTCATGCTATGCACAGAATAGTGCACACTATACCATACTGGTTTTCTTACCAGTACGCCGGTTATCCATCCAAACTTTACAGCTTTCTTTGTTGGCCCCTTCACTTCCTTCTTTGGTGATTCAACCAGCACTGTGGTCAAGCCATCCTCCTGTGCCTGCATAACATAATGTTAGATTCGTGGAATGACTGATGAATCATTATATAAACCACTGTATTAGAATATAGAAAATGATCTGTAATGCCAATAATTCGTCACATGGCAGCTGTACCATGGGTGCAAATATGCTTTATGCACTATATGTAATTATGCACCCAACCACAAACTTACCATGTGTTATGGTTAGGGTGAGGGTTAGATGAATAAATATATCAGGTACACAAAGTCGACAAGTCAATAAAATAATACCCCCTAAAATATCAGGTTAGGATATGGTTAGGGTAAGAGTGAGGATTGGGAAAGAGTTTGGGTGAGGGTTAGGAAAAAGTTAGGGGTTGGGTTAGGATAGGGTTAGGACAGGGTTATGGGTTAGGTGAGGGTTAGGGTTAGAGGTTGGGTTAGGTTAGGGTTAGGGGTTGGGTTAGGTTAGGGTTAGGGTTAGGGGTTGGGTTAGGGTTAGGGGTTGAGTTAGGGTTAGGCGTTGGGTTAAGGTTAGAAGTTGGGTTAGTGGTTAGGGCTAGGATTAGGGGTTGGGTTAGGGTTAGGGTTACGATAAAGTATGGCAATGATGCATGTACAGGGGGTTATTAAAGTAAATGTGAGCCAGTTTCAACAATATCAGTGGATCGATTATATGACATGACATAACATACCACATACTTTGAGCCAAACGAACTGAAACTCTAGCAGTCCTGTACTTCCATGGGCTAGCAAAAAGCCATATATGCCTGTGATAGAAAGTCTACGATAGTACAGTAGAGCCCACCACAACTTGTGTAGCTTAGGGATCGTTAGAGTTTAGAGGTTGGGTAAGCATATATGACGATGATGATGGTGATAATCTACAAACGTACAGGGGCCCTAAACTAGGATTGTGGCCAACATCATGTGACTTATATCATGCTCGCCCCACCTAAAACAGCTGCTGCCTTGTGGCAATGCCTAGGATTATGCTACCGAGTATTGTAGGGCACTAGGTGGATGGAGTTGACGTTAACCCCTCTACACAGGGTTATGTCACGGTATCTCACTGCACCTCATGCAGCTGCTCCAGCGTAGGTCGCGACTTCTTGTTCCCAATGACGTATGAGAAGAGGTTTCTGTAGTGGTCGACTCGCGGTAGCGTATCGTAGGTGTTTTGCTGGCGCGAGCCGCGAAGCGTGCCGCTAAACGTGAACGTGTGGGGACTCTTCGGGGTCACATTCCCCATTACGCTGCTAGTGGCGCCGCCGCTGCTCACGTTGTCGACCGTCCCGTCGGAATATGACACATGTCGTGTCCTAGAATTCTCACAATTTTTGGGGGAAGATTTGGATTTTGTCGCGTCATGCTCTTGTCGCGGTTTAACAGCGGGGGGTTGAATCGGACGCCGGTTACTCTGTTGTTGTTGTTGTTGTTGCTCTGCTTTGGCAGAGTTTAAATTACTACTGTTCGTGTCATTCGCGTCTGGTTTTCCAGCTAGCCGTTCGTTAGGCACTCCCGCGCTTTCAACTTTCTCCACGACGAACCTGGATGACAGTGCCCCCGTCTTTCCCACGTTCGTATCACCTTTGGAGTTCCCAACTGCTTCCTTGGATTCCGACATCACTTCGGTCAGGAGAACCAACTAGGTGCAATAGAGCTAACTCCCTGACTCTCCGCGTTGGCACACCGTCACCGGTAGCAAAAGCTGCAATATTGACATAGGCTACTCTTTGCAAGGATGCGCTGAATGCTGTATTTTGATCTACTCACGCCCTCTATCTTTCTCTAACAAACGTGCGCCCAGATTGCCCAGATAAGTTATTTTATAATTTGCTGTATCGTTTTAATTTAACCATTACTCCAAGAAATTACATTCCCTTGACACGATTCTTAATGATAAATTTAAGTGATTTCATTTAAAAGAAAAAACCATCGAAAATAGGCGGATACTGAGGATTCGGATGACCATTGACATTCTCTTGCCAAAAACAAGAGACCTACATTAGAAAAACATGGCGGTTGTTATAAAGATTGTAGTGTGTATTCTCCTCTTCTGCGTTGCCTATTTTGATGTTGTGCAGCCAGCGCATCAACAAATTACAGGACGATATGAATTAGGTAGCATGGAAGCGGCAACTGTTGGTGCTCCATGGCCAATGCCACAAAAATACGATGTAATGCAAACTTACATGTTTATAGATAAGTCGAATTTCGAGTTTCCAGTTATCGCCAAAACATGCGATTTGCTCGAGGACGCTATAGCAAGATATTATCAGATAATCTTTGCAACGGATCACGAGTCAAGGCAAGTTAGTTAGTCCTTTTCATATTAATGCCTATGAGTATATGAACTAATACTGCCGAAGCCGGCAATTGAGTTGTAGAACTTGTACAATGCAATGGCAATGGGTCCGTACTGGCGTACACATGCAGGCACTTGTAACGTTTCAATAAAATATAATTGTATTACAATTAATGCTAAATAAATACGACATCTATTTACTACCAAATTCTTAATGTTTACCTACTCTCTTTTCCCTATTATTGCCGACAATTTCCCGTAAATGCCGTCCAAATGCTCATCTGCAACACACTGTCACACGCTGGCCGCCGCACGCTAGCTGCTGCACACTGACACATAAATATATAGCAGGTAGGGAAGCGTGCTGCCAAAATTCGCTTGACGCTCGCTTGATTTCATACGAATACAACACAAATATTCAACAATTCTACTCTATCTTTGTTTCTATTTGAAGAACAGTGTTCACTTGTTATAAAAACATACTGTCTGTGTTCGTAACCGAGCTGTGTCACGCGAAATCACACAAAGCCTGACGAAATTCTTGTGTTCGCTCCCGTTGCACAGTTTATGTAAATGTCTGCAAGTACAGGGCTATAGGCGGCGCACTGCATTTTGGGAAACTACCACGCTGCTTTCCAACTTCCGTACGAGCCCCGTCAAAGCCGCCAGTGGAGCGTTGCAGCGCAAAAATGAGGTTACGAAGAGTGCCGGTGGGTGTTTTCTGATTCCGACAGCCATTTACATAAACTGCACAACGGGAGCGAACGCGAGAATTTTGTCACACTTTGTGTGATTTTGCGTGACACAGCTCGGTTACGAACACAGACAGTATGTTTTTATAACAAGTGAACACTGTTCTTCAAATAGAAACAAAGATGGAGTAGAATGGTTGAATATTTGTGTTGTATTCATATGAAATCAAGCGAGCGTCAGGCGAATTTTGGCAGCACGCTTTCCTACCTGCTATATATTTATGTGTCAGTGTGCAGCAGCTAGCATGCAGCGTACTTGTGTGTTGCAGATGAGCATTTGACCGGCATTTACAAGTGATTATAGGTGAAATAGAGTAGAGAAACATTAAGACTGGTAGTAAATACATTTTGTGTTTATTTACCTTCTTTTTTATTGAGACGTTTCAAGTGTTTGTGGGTCCGTAGACTATGAGGGCGTATAATGCCATTTAATGGGGGCGTAGTCAACTCGCCTCGCCGGCAAACTCGACCCGTGCAGGGCTCGAATTAAGCGACGAGAAGGGCAAGGCAATTTTTTTAGGGCATGTGAGAAATCGCCTTGAATTTTCTCTAAAATAGAAAGGCACCAAGGCAACTCTCAAAATTTGAGAAGGGCACCAAGGCACTTTTGTAAAATAATGGAAAACTCATAACAAATTAGTACATCAACATCGTCTTGCTTTTAATGTACAAAACAATATGCCCCCATGTAAGCTTACACCGTAACACTGACCCCTGTAGGCCCTACCAACCTCTGCTAATGGAAGTACAGTAACAAGAAATTTTACATGCCCGCTATCAGGAGCAAATAATTATCCGATGGCATTATTATTCCCTCCTGCGACTATCGGTTTTTAGCTCATCATTGCAACTACAGCACGCACGCGCACGTGTTATGTTGATTCGACTAAAAACTTAGATTAAAGGGCACCGACGGCAATTACACAAAAGGGCAAGGCAGGTGACTGCCGTCGGTCGGGTTGGATTTTCAGGGGCAGTACGGCGATTGATAGGGGCACCGACGGCAATTGCCGTCGGTGCCGTCGGTTAATTCGAGCCCTGGACCCGTGTGTCGAGATTTAATGCCTGCATGCATGTCCGTCAGCTCGGCTCGTGTGGGTCGAGATGACCCACCTGAAGATCGGGCAGCTCGATTCACCGCCTAACTCCAGTCCTCGAAATAAGAAAAAAATGTCCAGGCATCAAATTGGGTTGTCCGCAACAATATCTGGTTGTCCCAAAAAATATCCCCAAATCTCCTATTTTCAATCACATCATAATATGATCAGAAAACACCTAAAAACAAAGGCGTAGCCAGGATTTTTTAACAAGGGGGGCCAAAAACAGCGAACTGCGCAAAATAGTGGATGACTTAATATTTTACTGGCTCCTCCGCCTCTCTTTCCACACCCTAAGGCTCCTTTACCTCTCAGCTCTGCAATCTTTGTTTTGGGCGCCATGCGAAAAGGCGACATTTTTGTTCATTGTTCTCTGCTTCCAAGATATGTAATTGTTCAGTGGTGGGTTTAGGATTCCAAGGAGGGGGGGTTGAAAAACAGGTGGGGGGGGGGTATGGTGGTCCTCCCCCAGAAAATGTTGGAAACTTGCTGGTTTGCTGGTTCCAAATCGAGTTCACCTCTCATAAATCAGAAAACCTGACATACCAGTGTTGAAAATAGCAGCTGGTCCCATGTTTTTATATTATTAACGATTTAATTCACGATTAAGATTTCTTGATGAGCTAGAAAACACTCGGATTTGAAGTATGAAAATGAACATTATTGTGCCAGCCTACACCAGTTGGTTGGGATTGATTGTCAGTTCAGATGCAAAATATTGATAGCAAAAGGTTATACACCATAGAATAATTGGGTAATATAACACGCGCATATATAAGATAGCCGAATCGGTTTAGAGGTAGTGTTAGGGTTAGGGTTAGGGATAGGGTTTCTTGGTTGTCCACCGGACAATGTCTCAGACTGGTTAGGTTGTCCGGCACAAATTCTGGTTGTCTCGGACAACCGGACAACGCTTATTTCGAGCACTGTTAAACTCATATATGAGATTGAAAATTGAGATTAATTATGTGTTACAAAATTATACTTTACACATAATAATAGGTTATGCCCACACAATACCACTCACTTATATTTATATACAACTTACAAGTACGTCAACCATCTTAACAAACCAGACAGAAATGATCCCCTACCACACTTTGTAATTATTGCTCTCAAATCAAGTAAATTTTATTATTTAGCTCAAAACTATTGCATCCATCAGATTTGTTCTCCATGTAAGAGACTGCTTTCAGTACATGTATTTGTATGTGAATTATATGGAATAGATTAAAAATAATAATAAAACTAGATGTTTTTGACGTCAGAATGTGTAATACATCTTAAATGAGTTAGCCGGTGAGTTGAGCTGCCCGATCTCCGGGGGGGTGGGTGGAGTTAACTGGTGCCCGTACTGACAAGCGCTACTGACTGTACTGAGCTACTGTTACTGATTCATGTAGCCCCACATGACGCACTGACGAGACGGATGGAAGCGCTGAAAATTAGCTCAATGAAACAGCCATCAATCGAAAGAACGTTTCAACCGCTTCCTGGCTTGCTTGCAGTAACTGGGTGCTACTGGACACTGCTTTCTACTAAAGTTATACCCTATTTTATGTAATGAATTGGTCAAAAATAACACACTTGCGATTTTGCATTTAACTCTGTTCGACTTAAATCAGAGATCAACTGCAGGGTGATATAAATGCACTGAGTCAAATACTCCCTGATTTACTGTCGGACTCCCTGATTTGACATTATATGCAGGAGTTCGTGTGACTCCCTGAAAATTTTGCCATACTATACTAACTAGTTTCGTTCCAGAGCACGGCCTCGCGGAATTACCGTATTTTTTTCAGCAAATGTATAAAGAAAATTTAGCAGACGTGTAACCGCATGAATCTTCAAAGTAAGCACGTGTTATTGTTAATATCTTTAATTTTGAACTTCAAACTGCATACTTCCTCATTTTGCCGCGGACTCCCTCTTTTTGAGGGCAGGGAGTCCGTTGTACTCCTTTGTTCCAAAGTTAATTTCTACCCCTGCAACTGATAGTATTAGCGGATAAGGCAAATACATGATGCCATTGTGCGTCGATCATTTTGCTTTTTACAATTTAAATTATCGTTTCAGATTTCTCGCCATCCCGATCTAATGGTGGTTGGAGTTTGGTGACTTATTTTGTTCACCACTTGAAATTTACACTTTATACATGAAACTAATGTCTGAGTTCTAATAACAAAGCTGGAATGCTATAACACAAAGTTCAAAGTTAATACAATAGTACTAATTCAAATATTTATTTACTTTGAGATGAATGTAGTTGTCAATCAATTTTCATAGCAGTAGAAACTTTTCTAATAAATGGATGTCCAGCTGTTTATGTGTATTATGACTATTAAGGTAAGTTTCGTAACTGTGTTTAGGCTACTACACAGGTTGAGCTGGCCTATGCTAAGCTACACTATAAGCGCTGTAGTAATGAGCCTACCAACCTGTTGTCATTGACATCATGGACTCGGCTGCCTGACAAGAGTCCTCACATGCAATAGGGTTTTCAAAGTACGTCAGTGATTTATTTCTGATCGCTTGTCATTTCCCAATCTTTTCTGCCATAATACAGATCAAAGAGGAGTCTGTTAAACCGGGAGAGATCTGGAGCATCAGTAGTCATGACAAAGACCAAGATGGTTTCTTCCACGAAGGATTCAAACAACCATGGACAGCTGAAAAATATCAGTATCATACTCACTTACAAGTGTGAAGAGTATCCCAGTATGAACATGGATGAACAATGTAAGTCAACATGTACTCCAACACTTTGGGGCAATTCGCCAATAATCTGCAGGCGCGCAAGTCTCTGAACATAAACTTGTATGCTCTAGGGTGTGATCATACTGTGCGTGCAGCCATGTCAAATCAAGCCGGCCACAGACGAAAACCGCCGTCTACTTTTATGATTTGATCGGCTACTTTTTTGAAAAAATAATAAATATAACTGAAACTGAAATGGCCCGATTGCCTGATCGGACAACTGAAAAATTCTAGTTGTTTAATATTGCTAACATCCTTCGAGCCAGGACGCTATCGCACGACATCCTCACTTTATAGTATCAAAGGTTGCCGAAAAAAGCAACCCGTGAGAGCGTGCAGCGAAAGCCAGCACAGTGCGGCTGTGTATACATGCCTGGGGCGGCATATTGGTTGATGTACGGGGGGGGGGGGAGTGCAGGATTGTTTAAAAGTCGTGTGGGGCATGTTCCTTAGGAGTGGGCACTACTGGGATCAGAGGACGACAGCAAAATTCTATCCTGGAATTGAGGAAAAAGCTGCAATCGGGAATGACACAGTGAGCGTGCTGGCACGCAAAAATAAACGTTGTGTGAATTTCGTTACGATTTTGCATGTATATATTGTAATATGAGGAGTGTATAATATCGATATATCTCTATATTATACTCTATATATATATAATATATAGGTCTATCTATATATCTATCTATCTACCTGTCTATCTATCTATCTATATATATATATATATTGATATTTATATATCTATTTATATAATATAGATCTCTATATTATACACGCCTGGTAATATGATGTGCACTGAACCAAAAGTGGACCTTAACGGCTCATAGATTGCAATAAAATTTTTGACAGATCTGAAAATAAGCGTTGAGTCCTGTGTTAGCTATTCAGTTGGCAGATAGATTAACTTTTACTTTGTCTTAGCATTGTATTTGCACAAATACAGTGACAGAGACTGAGCAGTTCAACCCTCAGCAATTTGAAATTTATGTTGTTGTTGTTTTTAGTAAGTAGTGGTGTCCCCAAAGCTTAAAATACTCAACTCAAAAGTGATGTTTTTGTGATGAAGATTGTTTAATAATGCTGCCTCAGAGTCAGAGTGCAGGAAATTGCATCTAAGAGTTGTATTAAATAAAAAAAAATCCAGGCCCCCCCCCCTGCTCAGGGACCCCCTCCCGAACCCACCCCCTCACAGCTTTGCTGCAAGGGTGCGGCCTGTGGCAGCAGACAGCCGCCTATTTTCTTGGTTTAGCCAGCCACTTTACAAACCTGTGACAAGCCTGGCGTGATGAGGGTGTCTGTACATAGAATAACGCAGTACCACCAGACTATGATAGTACCCAACAGGAAGACAAGTCTTTGCACACATAGAGTCAGGTACTCCTACCAAAGTATAGTAATTCGCTGCAGTGTTGCTCGCAAGTCTGCACATAAACTCGGTTAATACTGTGCAGAAACTGCAAGACCCAGTGCAGAGTTAAGCAGTCTTCTTCTCTTGGTGTATAATAATTCTGTACAGAGACTTGCATTTTTATGCATAGTCGGTTGCTCTTTCAAGATTCCGATACCACGTGCAGGAACGCATGTCCCCGCACATAATGTCGATCACTTGGTCCCGCAATAACGAAAAGAGCTCAGATGCATGCAGACTCCGTCTTTGACAATCATTTGTTTTGCATCTGGTAATGCGTAAATTTCTTGTGTGTTGCAGACGAGATCAAGATTGACAACTGGGACAACCCCGGCGAGGGACTGCTCACCAGCGACAGCATCTGGGGAATTCTGAGAGGCTTGGAGACGCTGTCACATATCATACATGAGGCAGATGACGGTGCAGTAAGTTGCACCATTTTTTCTGGCTTTGCAGAGTTTGGAAGATCCTGACGAAGACTATCACGAATCAAAGCTGGTTGTTTGTCGCTGATTTTACAGCTGAGTAGCATCAAGTGGTAAGCAAGTCGAGTCTGTCTTGGGCAATAGCAGTGGATCTGCGTCTGTGGTGATGGTCCAAGCCTCCTCTTCACGTCACGCACTTCCATATACTATATGATGTTCATCGCTAGCTTCATAACTTAATGGAATCAAAGGATATAATATGTTTGTCAAACACACGTGAGATGGTAGCAGTTGATATGCAACCCATATAGATGGTCCTTACCTCAGATTCACACGTGTCGCACATACAAGGTGGTTGAGTAATTGCTGCGGTCAGGTGTATCTGTGTAGGTGCCTGTATATATATGTTAGGACGCCAGATTGGTACGAGGAAAGCATATTACATGAAGTCATACCGGGAGATTTTATCCAAAAGTAGATGATGTGAATGACAGATAATCCAAAAGGTATTTTTCAAATGTCAATAATATGTATTCATTATGTCATTTCATTGTTGTCTCATTTTGTCGATGTTTTTGATGTAATTTTATGGGATTTATGCCATGCACTCATGCCTATGCATCATATTTTTTATGCCATGCAAGCAATAATCATTGTTCTTATATCAAAATGTCGAAATATAGTTTTCTCATGCAGGGTTAGAAATCGACTTTTTTGCCAGACAGCAAGTACTTGCTGTCAGGGAAAAAGGCAGGCAGCAAATCTTACTCACCCAGGCAGGATCTTTTGTGTTTTTATTGTGTTTTATAAGGAATTTATTGACGGCAAGTATTTGCTGCCAACGTTGAGAGCAGGTAGCAAACTGACCCTAACCCTGCTATGTTATGTTTGTCATTGTTGGGTACATGTATGAGGTCTTTGAGTTTGGGGCAGTGTTATGTAATAATGTTTTGAATATAGTGTCGTAAGATAATGTCGACATCGCTCTTACCCGCAGGTGCGAGTGAACAGCACGTTTATTGATGACTTCCCTCGCTTCAGCCACCGTGGAGTCCTGCTCGACACATCCAGACATTACTTGCCCAAAAGCATCCTACTCGAAAACCTGGTAGGTAAGAAATGCCAGCAGTCGTCGGATTGACAAGTTACGTGTCAAACACCTCACATAAGTAACCCAGTAGTTCACTGAGCCAGTGAGTACTAACCGAATCATTCACTGAAGCTGTGATGACTAACTTAGCCAAATTCGTGAACAAGATTTGGTAGTGGTGACTAGTTATGAGCAGGTCTTGTTAACCAGGTTACCGTTGTCAGAAACCTTAAATAGTTATGACATCCATCATAAGTCTGACATGCCATAACTTTTGCACAACACGTCATGTGCAAAAGTTATCACACGTTAGACAATATGGTAGTTACCAGTATTTATGGCCAGTGTTGTGTTTTGGACAACTGGCCCCTGGTTGTAGAGTATGTCGATCTTTGTGTTAGGTGCTTCCATGCTTACATTTATCAGGTTTTATCAGAACGATTCACGAGTAGTTCTTTGTTACTTGCAGGATGTAATGGCATATAACAAGTTTAATGTGTTCCACTGGCACATCGTTGACTGGCAATCGTTTCCCTACCAGAGCAGAGTGTTCCCCGATCTGAGCAGGAAGGTACAAACGTAGTATGTGGACATGCCAGTACAAGGATTTGCCACTGATGGTGCAATTATGTGATGTACTGTGGTTGATGTGCGCAACCGGTTTACACCTGGTCATATGTAATTTTATAATGTTTGCTTGCTATAAATGATAACAGGGTGCATTGTCAGAATGGTCATTAGTTTTTTGCTCGTCCTAAGTCGTCAAAAAACCTAAATTTTAGCAAAGTGGCAGAGTGGCAGTGGCGAAGTTCTAGGGTTTGGATCAGTCTGACGAAGACGGCTAGGATTACAAGGAAAAAGAACTGGTGCAAAGAGCATAGAACTTATTATGTTTACATGCAGGTAGCATGTAAAGATGTCATTGCTTTTGGGAACGTATAATATTTACATTTAGTAGCAAACGCACTTTAGTTTTATCACTTTCATGGGCTGTATTATATGCTTAAATCTGCCCATTGCATTTTTCTCATGTCAGGGAACGTATAATATTTACATTTAGGTAAGGTGTAGCAATTGTATTTTGCCTGTTTCAGGGAGCGTATAACGAGTACACTCACATCTACACACAAGATGATATAGCAGAGATTGTTGAGTATGCACGAGTGAGAGGCATTCGAGTACTGCCGGAGTTTGACACCCCCGGTAAGCCTATTTCAAAGCTTTTCTTAAAAACCGCGTAAATTTGCAGCCAGCCAACACGCGGTGCCGCAATAATATAAGAAATGATAATGTAATGAAGTGGTAATGTCTCATAATTATAATTATATTTATAACATAATAAGTGCATTAATTCGCTGGCACGCATCTCATCTATATCCACCACGACTTCACCACGTTTCTGGAAAAATTACCTAAACGCCTTCACCGCGCGACCCTGGCTCACCGTCCCGCGATTGGCCATGTGGAGCCTGGCGATGGCACATCTAACTCTCGTGCGTCGTTCCCCTCCGCCCCGCAGGTCACACACTGTCGTGGGGCGCGGGCCGGCCGGGGCTGCTCACTCTGTGCTACGCGGACGGGCGCCCCGACGGCACACACGGACCCGTGAACCCCGTGCCGGCGTCGACGTACGACTTCATGCGCCGCCTGCTCGCCGAGGTCGTCTCCGTCTTCCCCGACGCGTACGTCCACCTCGGCGGCGACGAGGTCAACTTCGGATGCTGGTAGGTGGCGCCACGCGGCGGCCATGTTGGACGGATATGGGTAGGTGGCGCTATGCGTCACATTGGCAGCGGCTATGTTGGACAGGTGGTGCTGGATGTCCATGTTGGAAGGGTGGTGAGGCGAGGCTACGCTGTAATTTTAGGTATTGGAGATGATAGTATACAATGCAATGTTTCAGTATGAAAGTGTCCTGTTTTTATTTATTCGATGCTGGTGGGGTAGCCGAGGTCTGCCTAAGCATCTCAGATATGTGCTCGCCCACGAACCAAATTGCACCAACAAAACTCTTGGTGGTGTTGTCTTTTGGGAGAATCACAGACACTCTAGAGCAAGTTCTGTGAGAAATTTCTGACTCTATATGCAGTAACTTGCATATCTCTATGTACAGAGATTTGTGTTCTACCCGTGTATAATCTTCATCACAGCCGAAGCGGATGTCAGATTTTGATCGATGGGAAATGAATTTCTAACCATCGTAGTCATGAATTACGATTCATCAATTGCAGGAAGTCAAATCCAGAAATCAACAAATTCATGCAGAAAATGGGATTCGGTTCTAACTATGCCAAGCTAGAAGAGTATTACATACAGAAGTAAGTGTTGCTTTCTGCTATCAACCAAGTTTTTATTGTGTGCTTGTGTTATCGTGTTGTATCAACACGTGCATACGTACGTGTGTGGTGTGTGTGTGTGTATATCTCTGCATGTGAAAAGCAGTCACTATGGTATCACCGCTGTTTGCTATGTCGCAGGATACTAAAGATCATGGAAACGCTGAACCACGGGTCCATGGTCTGGCAAGAAGTGTTTGACAACAACGTGACTGTAAGTGCGCAGTGCGTGCGTAAATGAGCGGCAACCCTCATCTCCAGGCGTCGCGCTACGTCGCTCTGTACTTCCAAAATGCTCGTGAGATTTATGTAGCATTTGTGTGTTCAGAGGTAGTTGGGTCGATTCATAGTTGATAGCCTTCCTGCGCCAAGTGTTCGTAATCCACTGTATTGCTGGATGAACTGTGCATGCTGTAGTCATAACCCATTGTCTTTTCCCACCTGCGGCCAGTCGCATATTCAATATGTCGAATACGCTGAAAACAAATTGGATGTTGTTGAAGTTTACATCGTTTTCAGAGGTCATTGAGGCACTTCGATTGCTAATGACAGGAACATGAGTCAGACTGTGCCGAGTCCTCCCAGGTCCTTTCCCAGATTTATTAGTGGGTATAGATTTTGATGCCCCCATGCCAAATTATAACTCGTCATTGTACCTGGTTCAAATCCGTTGAAGTGTTATGAAGGCATCCATAAATAGATTCAGTTCCTGGATCTATCCCTGTACTGGGTCCTAATTCTGGTTCTATGCCTATAGTAGTTAAGTCCCACACCTATCCCTTTAGTAGGCTCAAATCTTATATCCATCCTTGCAGTAAGTTCAAATTGTGATTCGATTGTGCACATGTGGAAGGGCGGCTATTATCTATTCATGTAATAATCCTCTATCTATCCATATACTAACAATATATCTATTCCCTTACTAATCCTGAATCTATTCCTGTAGGTGAGAGGGGATATGATCGGGCACGTGTGGAAGGGTGGTTATTATCTATTCATGTAATAATCCTCCATATATTTTTATTCCAAATATCCTAAATATCTTTTAATATACTAACAATATATATATA